GACGTAGCTTAACCGTGACCACACATCACAAGAGGGTATGAGAAGAGTACGGAAATAGGAGGGCAGACAATCCACCTCATTTGGAATTTCAGACTGGTTAGGTTGGGATTGGATTGAATTGTTTAGGTAGTTATTATGAGGTGGCAGCCTTGGTTAAATTGAAGGGAACTGAAACCTGTCTTAAGGACCAACATTAAGGGCACATCTGGTGTGCCGAACAAAATTGGATTTGGTATTTCAGACTGGTTAGGTTGTTTGTCTAGTGTTTGGTGTAGAGTGTCTCCATCCGACTAGGAAGGATGAGATTTTAAAAGTCAACCCGTTCACTAACGACCCCCACAATGACGCACAGCCCGTTCACGATGCCTTTCATGGCGACACAGCAACGTCGATCCTTGTCGTGACGACCCATCCAAGTCACCGCTCCCAACCTGCCCCTGACTCCCTAAAACCAGCAAACAGATCCACTACATTCCGACGACAACCCACCCACTTAACAACACTGCTCGCGACTCACAACACCACTCGTGACTCTCCTCACCCCTTGTAACCTGGCACTACACAGTGCTCACAATCCGCTACAGAATTGATGAAATTAGATGAATCTCTAAAGAAAGGCGATGAGAGGCCCTCGAAGAAGAGCGTCGGGTTCGTAACCTGTTGTTCAGGTTGGGTTACGTAGTCCGTCCTACTTTGGATTTGAACCCATGACTCAAAATCTTGTCCATGACACAAATTGCGTCATCAAACACAGGTTGTGACTCAAATCCAATTTTAATTGGAACAACCAGTCCTAGCTAGCCCATCAAAATGGGTTTATACTAGGGAGCCTTATATAAAAAACACAACCTACATTACCTAGAACCCTACCACATTTCAATAATTTCATGGAGCGAAAAAAGATCAAAACACACTAAACCCAACCCAAAAATAAGGAAATCAATGTTTGAAAATTCCATTCTTTACCCCGGACCAAACCCATTAGTAAACAGACATCAGCCTACACAACTTCAACAAAATTACTTACATGCCATTAGCCTGATCCTTGTTGATCATTTTTGTAGAAGCAGTTTCAACTATATATATAATTAGTTTTGTATAATTTTTAGTATACTTAGTTTGTATACGTTAAAAAATATCTTCTAAAAAAGATAGCTTAATTATCTGTAGAATCATTTTAACTATTTGTATAATTAGTTTGTATACTTTATTAGTAAAATCAGTTGGTATACTTTTAAAATAAAAATCTTGTGAAAAGATACGGTTTAACTATATGTAAAATCAGTTATATCATTATTACTAGAATTAGTTTAACTATTTGTAGAACCATTTTTATATACTTAGTATAATCAAATGTGAAGAAAAAAAGAGGAAAAAAAAAAAAACAAGAAGAAGCTAAACTTATGTAATAGGCCAAGATTTGGTCTTTTTTTATTTTCACTGGAAGCAACAAATGGAGGAGAGAGAGAAAGAGAAAACGAAGCAAAAGATGGAGAGAGAAAGAGAGAGAAGCGTGAAAAGGCCTTTTTGTAGAGGAAGTAGGAAGGAGAAGAGAAAGAGAGGAAGGGAGACAACAATACAAATATAAGATTGTATCCATCTTTCAAATATAAAGAGGAAAAATTGTAAATGCAAGAGAATCTCAAAAACAACCATGACATCACTTGCCACATGAATAAATTTTGTCATCCTTGAAATAAATAAAAATTTAAACTCTATGCAAAATATATCTTATAAATTGTTTGTATATGTAATTTTTTTCTTGTTGGGAACATTTTGGTCGAGTTGGATTTGGGCCTCTATGGAAACTCTCTACCCTCCTAGTTCATTTCCGGCACGAAGTCCTGAAATACTTAAAAAAAAAAAAAGCACGTCTTATGAAGCATTCTAGTTGAATCAATGACTCCAATTTAGCGATGATTGCATGATTACAATGAATTGGAACTTGCCTTGGTGAAGCGTGGCGTGGAAGCTAAAAACATATTGGTTTAGCAAGAGAGAGATTGTTCATACCTGCATGGTTTTAAGAATGGCCAATCCAAGGTTCTGAATTCTCTAAGAATATTTATCGTAGCTAAGGAAATCTAAAGGAAGTTAAAGCAATTCCCAGAAGTGAGGAAAGCTTCATTCTCAAGAACTAAGGTTTTCTGCACTTAGAGAAAGCTTACTCTTCTTGGTATGATATTTCCTTAGTCCCTTATTATCCTCATCCTTCAATTCTTCTTTGTTGTTCTTGGCTTCCTTCTCCTCTTATAGGCGTAGAGTTCCTTACCAGTTTCCACTAGGGAATCCTTTGATTTCTTCATTTCTTCCTATTTTTCATTTAGTCTTCCCTTCTCCTTTCCATGGGCGTAGCTATAACTTTTCTTTTTGGTGCAACATTGAACATTTTTACTAGTCTCGTGAAGACTAGGTGGAACACACTGCCCAGAGTCTCTTCTTCCTGAATTAGTTTCCACATACCTTTATTTTGGCAACGTTTCTCCTTGTTTTCTTTTCTTGTTGTTCTATGTAAACTTGGAAGGGAATGGTCTCTTCTCTCCTTATTAATGAGGCGTGTGACTCTATGTTTGAACATGATCCTGTAGGCAGTTCAGCTTTGGGCTTTGGTTGTTTCCTAAGTATCTTAGTTGGTTTGTGATAGGAGCATATTTAGACGACTTAGTTAGCTTGTTTACCTTCATTTATGTTGTTAGTTCATAGTTATTTTAGTATTTTAAGCTATTTTCGTGTGTTTCTAGGTTCATATGGCTAAGGTAGCAAGAAGGTGCATTTTGGAGTCTTTTGGAGCAAAATTGGATTTGAAATGGATAGCATATGCTTGGAGCAAAAGGAATGGACGAAATTGAAGACCTAAAGATGTTAGGATTCCTAATCAAAGAAGGATTCCTAATCAAAGAAGGATTCCTAGTCAAAGAAGGTTTTGTACTTGAAGTAGGAAAGTTAAGCCAAGGAAATAGGTTTGACCTTTCCTAATCCTAAAAGCCCCTAGGTTCCAGCAACATTGAGGACTCTTATGCATTTTAGGACACAAACTAAACTTTCCTTGCATCCTTATTTCCCTTGTCGTGCCTTCCATAAACCTGCCTTTCCTTGCTGTGCAAGGGGAATGCTTATTCCCTATTTTGTGTCACAAGATCACATTCCTCTTTCACCATGGTTAATGCCGCACCTTGCATTCCTATTCTATCCTAAATCCTTGCCTAATTTCAGCCTTAAAACACATTCCCTTTCCTACTCTTTTTGGCCGCAAGTTTCCTGTCCTTTTTCCCTTTGATTTCTGACTTTATGTCTCATTTTCATGATGAATTTGGGGTTTATTTCTTTCCTAACCCATTCAATAAAAGCTGAGATCCTTTCCTTCAAATAAATAGTCAATGACGCACCCATAAGGAACCCTATTCACTGACTCACACAATCTGCCATCCTTCATTAATCACACCAACCTTTGCCGCAACCTTCATCCATTCTTCCACCACTCCCATACTTTCATACCTTGAAACCACACATCCATACACCATTCTTATCCCTTGCCACACCCCCTACCAACCTAAATCCATTCTTAACCCAGAAATACATCCAAAATCACCCCCAAACTCTTGTGCCGTAGCATAGCGAGGAAGAAGAGGAAAGGAAGAAGCCTTGGACGTTTTTGCATTCAAGTTTGATTGTTGGAGCATTTTTAGGTGTAATCTATCTTTTGTTTTCAATGTTTAATTCAAGTTTCCTTTGTTTTGTTGTGAACATGAGGGGCTAAACCTGTTTTAGCTAGGGGAGGCTTTGAAACTATGATTATATTTATGATATGAATTGATTAATTCCAGTTGTGATTTCATAAATTGTGAATGCAATTTACTTAACCGTTTGATGGATAACTTATTCTTGTATGTTGATTAGGGAGGCCTACGTAGGCCTTGTTTGATACGTCGGATAACATATCAGATAGGACTAATAATACGGAGTACAGTGTTTGGTGTCTGTTTGTATTAAATAGCCACCAGATTAAATAATCCGGGCCCACCTCCTTTATACGGTAAACACCCGTTTCCTTATCCCCTCTAAAAGCACGATACAATTTAGTTGGAACACACTCTCGCTCTCTCCATCCTCTTGAGAATGCACTCTCGCTCTCTCCTTCCTCTCTAGACGGTACAAGAAAATCTTTCGGTCTCTCCTTCCTCTCCAGACGCACCGGTCCTTTCCACTCCCAGGTTTGTCTTCTCATTCTTCTTTTTCTTCCCAGCTTCTGCCCCTCCCTCTGTTCTTCCACCTCCTTCTACTTTTCTTGCAATTTTCTTTCAATTGTTTGAATCTAGTTATTGTTTTCTCTGTAATTATGCAATTGATTATGTAATTTTGTGTTTTAATTAGAATTTTTGAATTTTAGGGTTTGTTGTTGGGGTCGAATTTTGGCACGAGAATTGTTAGAGTTTGTTGATTTAGTTGAATTTTCAAGATTTTGTCTTTCGATTTTTTGTTGAGTGACTAATGCATGGTGAACGTTTGCTTTGATTTAGCTGTTATGTGTTTATTGTTGATATGATGATGTTAAAATAATTGAGTTATTAAAGGAGTGGTCAAACGTTAATGGTAAAAAAATTTGAACTGAAATGCTCAGGTGAACAAGATTTGTAATGGGCAAATGGGATATCATATAAAATTTGTGCAGATGATTAACTCTAAAGGTTACTCTGTACTTGATGGGCAAGAACTGAAGGTTACTCTGTACTTGATGGGCAAGCTGCAAGATTGTCAAGGGCGGTTAAATAGAAGAAGAGATAATTTGGGCAAAAAGGAAGTGATTAAAGTGTGTTATATGGTATCTGTTTACATGTTAGAGTCGTTAGGTTGCATATGTTGGGGACTTAGTATGTTATATGGAATATCTTGTATTTGATGCTTGTACAAAATTGTTGTGTTTTTTGTGGTAGTATTTTCTCATAAGTTTTATATGTTAACTGAGAATAACACAATGTCTTGGTTCATTTTTTTGTTTGTAACAGAAGCTTTAAGCTTCTGTGAAGGAAACGCTGGCTGGTTTCACTTCAGTGGTGTGTTGATCCTTCCATGGCACGTACTTCAGTGGTTTGTAACTGAAGCTTTGTCTTTGTTTTGTTGTTTGTCTTGTTAGGCTTTCAAATCTTGTTCCTTGCTTTTTTAGTTATTTTATTCATTGCATTTATCAGATTTTTAGTGGGGTTGTCTTGGTTTTGTTGGTTAAATTTCTCTTATTGGTTGTTTGGACTTAGTGTTTGCAACATTAATGCATCTGGCCTTTATGATTGCAGGAAATATTTGTTTTGTTGATGCTCCCTGTGTTTGTTGGTGTTTAAGGAGAAAGCAAAGCAGAGGGAAGAGTTTGCAAAGCAGCAGCATGCATATATTTTGGCTATCTGGACAAACTGTTTCTTACTGAAACCAACTTGCATTTATATATTTTATGAACTTGGATATGTGGTTGGATTAATCTATATAACGTAATGACTGTAGTTGTATTTTGTGAACCTTCTTTTATGTTATTGGAAAATATTTTGAATACGAAGGTTTGTCAAAATTTTTTCCCTTGTCCTATCCGGTTCAATACCAAACACAGTATAAATAATACGGTCATTAGTCTGATATTGCACAAACGCCTGACTAATTTAGTCAGTACTATCCGGTGGCTATTTATCCTATCCGACAGAAATAGTCAGTACAGTCTGAGCTGCCAAACGAGGCCTTAATGTGCATGCTTGAATTTGGTGCTAGAATATAAGGGAGTTTCACATAATCATTACAAGCTTATATTCACAAGTAGTTAAGGTTGTTTTCACAATCATGTTAAGTAAATTCCTAGCATGAGTATCATGATGTCATAGTTACAAGTGCTTTGTCAATACTTATGATTTTCATAGAACGTAATGATCTTTGATTGTATCTCTATTATGATGTCATGTAGGGAACTTTTGAAGAATGCTTTGGGTTGTCGTATGATGTCATTCAATCCAATAACTAAAGGAAAATTTGAGGGTTAATTAGTGATGTCACTGTTAATTTGGGGTGTTGAGGTTCATGGTTTATCGAAAAAGCAACTGGAAATCAATTTATGTTTAAATGTAACATGTGTGGAAAAGAATCCTTTAGCTAGCTAATCATCCATAGTTTTTCCCAAATTTATCCAACCCTTGCTTAAGTCTTTTAGTTACTTGTTTTTATTTTAATTTCATCAAAAACCCAATCCCCTTTACTTACTTGTTTCAGATCTGTCCTATTGAATGTTTTTAAGTATTTTGAGTCAAAACCAATTCTATTTTCGTCCAAATTAAGTCCTAGAGTCTAGTTTGAGTCTTTTTGATTGTTTTGTGTTGTTCAGAGTATTTTGAGTTTATTTTGAGTCATATAGGTTTAGTTAAGAGTCTTTGAGTTTGTTTAAGTGCTTTTAAGTATATAATTGTATCTTTGAGTCAGTTTTTATTAGATTAGCAATCCCTCCAAATCCCGGGCCTAGAACGATCCCTACTTATATCTTTACTACAATTGTCAAAAAGAGGGTTTAATTTGAGTGCTATTATTTATCACATTAGTTTGCAAGGAAAGTGGCATCAGTTCTTTTTAAGTCATTAACAAGGGACTTATTCTCATATTCCACGTTGAAACTTGGTCTGTTATGTCTCAAACTTATCCACGTGAAACCAAGGATCATGGTCTTGGACTTCGAGTGCTCCCAAGCAGCCCAAAGTCTTCCACAATCTTAGCTCCACGTAGGGCCTAATAAACTTCTAACCATCCACACCACGATCCACTTGGCAAATCTCGACATGCTGCTTGGGCCCATTTTAGCTTGTAGCTCATGGTTGATGGGATTTAATTAAAACTTTAGTGTCGTAATCATAGATTGGCATGATAAATGTGCATGAATTTGCATGGGCTTGGCACGGTTATACAAAATGTCCAATTTATATAATTATTATTTTATTGGCATGGTGTGATTATAAATCCACATACCCCTCGTTCCACACCTTTTCATGAATTTAAGCTTCGCTGATTGAGCTTTGCAAGATGTTGGGCTTGTAGGTGATATTTTTGGGCCCTAATATTAGGCTCCTTGGCCCAAACTTTCAAAACATACTTTGTGATTGCTGACTTTGGAACTTAGCTTGATTGCTCAGTGATGCTCTTCAAGTAATTAGGTTTATTTCGATATATCAACTAGCTTGGCATGATCGCTTGATTGTAATTAGCATGATTTTGACATTGACATCTATATAACATGTTTTCCCTTTTTCGTTAAAAGTTGCTTTGTTGCTATATTGGAATTGAATAAAAACAAAACACTATAAAGAGAATATTCATTGGAGGGAGGTATAAATTGGCCAAACAGCAAAGTGAATTTTCCCTAGATACATCTATTCAATTAAACTTATTGTTGGCATGGTCTATAAAAGGGAAAAATAGGTACTGTATGATAGCATGGTTGTGGAAAAGCTTCTTGCACAAAAAATTGAAAATCTTTGACATGTGCATGTTGGAATTTCTAGGGGTCTTTACTTTCTCTTTGATGCGTTAGCTTGTCTTTTGAAACTAGATTCGCGTGCTTTTACTTAAACTCATTTTCCCTCATTGATTTGCATAGGTTGGGGAATTTTGGCTTCAGACCCTCTAGAATGTTTTCATGTGGTGGACAACCTATTTTGCACCGAGGAGAGGCTATAAAGAGGGAGGCCGCCACCACCTCTTGATTGTTTAACTAGGCTTTTAAGGACGAGGAGCCTGCCCTAAACTCTGTTGCTTTTATCAATTTGAAATGCATATCAAGATGTTGCATTGAGATCGGTCGATTTTCGGCTATCCTTTGGTGAAGCTACGGGATTGGCGAACTGAGCTTCTTCGCGGCAAACTTGAGTTTCTTTGCCATATAGTTAGAAGATCGAGCACAGAAACTTATAAATTTGTTTGTGCTTGGGAAGAGTTCATTCCGACTCTGGAAGATGTGGAAAATATTTTCCACCACCTTGTTGTAGGAAATATAGACCTTTCCACAGATAGCGTTGCATAGGATTTGTGATTGTTTCCTTTCTTTTACTTTCTCTATGCATGTATGTATATGTGAGATTTCATGTGCGTGTGCAAGTGATCCTAGGCATGGAAATTTATCATGGGCAAATATTGGCATGTTTTTTTTCAATTAATGTATATGTGCGTGCATAAGCTAGGCAAGTTTGACGGAGGCTTTCCTGTGTGGACTACTACGTTGTGATATCTTCTCATCCTTCATGGTGATTTTCTTCTATTTTTTTTCTTCATTATGCATGACTTGCGATTTTTCCTTAGGTCGTTGCCAACAACTCGGGCATGATAATCCTTTTTGTTTGTACTATACTTGACCAATCCCAAAACTACCAAGCACCGGTCAACGTCATACCTTCAAGGACCCGCTAAGGGGTTTATGCTAAGGTACCCTTGCCGAAGTACAAGAGTTTCCCTCCAACTAGTAGGCCAATCACAGCACGACACATGTTAATGTCATAATAAAGCTCATAGAGTCCCACATCCACTGCGCACAAAAGCTGGAGACTCTCCTCAACTATAAAAGGAGACCATTCTCCTACAATTAATCCCTAATGTCATTATTATACTTAAACTAGTCATTAGAACTCACTAATGATGATATGCTTGAACCTATGTATTTGTGTAAACCTTTCACTATTAATGAGAACTCCTCTACTCTGTGGACGTAACCAAACTTAGGGTAAACCGCATACATCTTGTGTTTGCTTCCTTATCTTTATCTATTTACATATTATCCTCACTAGGTGACTGGAGCAACCAAGCGAAGGTCACAAACTTGACACTTTACATTGTTCCAAAGCCTTCACTGATTCTATGCATCAACACTTTTATTGGCACCAGATTCGTACAAATCTCTGGCCATGCATGGGGATGATGTTGTGAAGGAGACTTTGGGTGCAACTCATGTGTGACTTTTCTATTAGTGATGACACCGTCATGGCCACTGTCTACTGATTCTTAGAATATTGACCACGCCATGGCACTACCGTTAATATAGATTTGAGATCTTACCACTCTTGAGGTGAGGATGCTTACCACTATGCATACTGCTAATGGCAACTATGAGTACTACTAATGGCAGTATGTTAACAGAAGAACATTTGTCAACTAGAGCTCGCCAAATAAATACGTCATTGTTTGGCCTTCAAGGTATAACGAGTTCCGATGGTCTGGGAAAACAACTTCCATATCCTCGTCTGTGAAGGCAATAACATTTTTATTTTCCAGGAATGCCCTACGTGGCTGGGCAACGAAGCATTGAGGTCCACAGTCCACGAAAATGTGCATCAGGGCTTTAGTAGCGGCCGTTCTTGGTTCTGGACCATATTCGAGTTCATCAATGAGTGATTTGAACTTTTGGTTTCTTTGGATGACTTGCACCGCAGTTGGTCTCCTTTTGGGCAAGGTAGTGCTTGACTGCTTAGTCTCAATATCGAAAAAGTCGTACAAAGTTACGGTTGCCATCTTTTGACATGTTTGCTGTCTAAGTGAAGTTCCTGCGATATATTCATTCGGCATCTTGATGGTGAAGACTTCGTCATTAAACCCTTGATCCAGGTTCATGATGTTTCTATCTTCATCATTCTATCCCTCTGTTTGGGGCCATGGTGTGTCGTAGCTTTGAGTACTTGCGCCAGTATGCCTCTTCCATGTTCCTGGAATATTCCCAAATAGCTTCAAGCAGTTTGGGATTGTTCTTCTATGGTTGATATACATCATTATCACCAGAGCATGATATCATAGCAACTACCTCTTTCCCTTTATGTTTTGGTAGAGGGTTAGTATCGACGACTTGTTTCTTGTAAGGCAGTTCTAGTGCTTCTTTGTGGATTTTTGCATGGAGGATCCTTCTTAGAGTTTGACAAGCAACATAAGGATGTCCCACGTACTGGTGGATTTTATCGGCATGGCGTGATCGTAAATCCATATTCCCCTCGATTCTGCACTTTTGTATGAATTTAAATTTGGTTTGTGACGCTTTTATGATGATTGGGCTTTGAGATATATTGAGCTTATAGGTGAGAGTTTTGGGCCCTAACATTTCTTTATACTATGGGTCTACAAACTAGCTATAGCAAAACATGTCTCATCTCGCAAAAGGTGATATGTTCAAATCAATATCCAAGTAATTATGCACATGCATTTACACCTTTATCAATAAAAGATAACGAACATGCATTTATCCGTGCAGACGATATCAGATATTTAAATCCTTACGCTCAATATTACTTGTATGAGAAGAAAAGGTTGTAAAACAAAGGATTGACTTAGCATTACCAAATCTTTTTTCTCTCTTGTATACAAAATCTATGGGGTCAAATATGTGACAACATCAACTTCCTTCCAACTCTTTGGCCCTCTAGAAAGAAATGTTGCCCTATACCTAACACATGCCGATGATTTTCTGTTTCCAAAGTCAAAG